GAACTAAGCATGCCTCGCTCGTGTTCGGCTCGTTTACACCCCTAACTTTATGTGTATGTTGTTGCTATTTCCCTTTCATTGTGTCCTCATAACCGCCTATTGGTTTTTTTCAGTAATGATATTTTTTCGCATATTATTATTTAGACTAACTCTAGTATCACGTAACTCCAGTAGTCTTACATGAAATTCTTCAGCCTCTTATGTGAAATGGTGCAAGTAATTCTCTAAATTAAGCTTGAATCATTGTATGTATTTGCTGATTTGCATATATCCATGACCACATGGGCCCACCCACGGTTTAGGAAATCGTGGGTCCGCAGGTACTTTTGAGGGGGAAAATTATTCTCCCTTAATTATCCATTATTACATTTTTATTTCCTTCCTTCTTACATCATTTGAATTTCCCTCCAATTTTTATATATATATATATATATATATATATATTATTTGCTTGTATTAATATATATATGTTATTTGCTTGTATTAATTTAGAGTATTTTTCGTTCGAAGAAAGTTCCTCCTAACTTTCACAGTATTCATGATAATGAACTTCTGTGGTTCAGGACTTAAATAATATATTTCATATTCTGAAATCAATGCCCGAAAGCTTGCGCTCTGAACAATGATTTAAGACATTGGAAAATGGTATCAATGGACCTCCAAATACAGGTAATACATTTGGGATCAATTTGCTCTTTATTTTATTTTGTTTTGTTTATGTTTTACAGTGAAATAAAACATATTTGTTGGAGGTGGTTGTTTTTAAAAATTTAAAATAAAAAAATGTTTAAAAAATACATCAAACAAGCATGTAAAGATCCCAAACAAGCCCTTAGTTTTGAAGGATGTATCAGTTTCCTTTTATTCTTTGTAAATATATGTGTGTTAGTGCCAATGCATGTTATATTAGTTTATGTGGTACTCAAGTATCACTACTTTGGTGCTTTGCATGCTTCAGGGTCCTCGCCCATTACTGTTTCTGAGGCCTAAATCATGTAATGGAGCGATCAATTTGGCTTCTTTTGCTCCTTATCGTGTTATCGGCAGAAGGGATGATTTGGTTTCATTGAAGCACCGGCTATGCCTGAGGTATGTTTGTTTCTACATGAACATTTTGATTTGTTGGACTGTCATTTTATAAAGGTACCACCCAATTCCTATGCATTTACATATCTAACACCACAACTTACATTTATGCCATCTTAATATTTCATGTCACATCAAAAATACCATCATTTTAGCTTTTAGAAAGTGAATCATTTTCATTCATGTGGAAGGTGGCATGCATGTAAAAAGTTAAGTTTAGGTGTTAGATATGTAAATACTCATGTAAATCGTCCTTTTATAAATTAAGGTGCATCTTAGACCTTTTGGATTTATTTAATAAATACCACTCAACTTTTATGTATTCACATATCTAACACCTAATCTTCAAATTTAACATATTTGTCACCTTACCTATGCATGATTCGTGAAAAAGTATATTTTACTTCTAAAAAGTTAGAGTGGTTATATGACATATAAACATCAAAATTAAAGTTCAGATGTTATATCTGTAAATACATAAGAATTGGGTGGCATGTATGTAAATGCTCCTAAATTTTTTGTTTTCTAACTTCTTTGCTGATTCTCTTGCTTTGCAAACTCCCTTAACTGCTTCTTCTTAATTTTCTAGTGCTCACCCTGTTCTGGCTAAGCGAAGAACTTTCGTGGTATTGTCTTTTAAAGGCAATTCACAAAATGAGAGATTTGACGACCGACAGAGAAGTTCGAGGGTTTCTAAGGCCCCTTTACAATTATCTCACACTCGAAATGAGAGAGAAGAGACCACCACATCTTTTGATACACAGAATCATCTCTCCTTAGAGTCCCGGGAAAGAGAAGATTCCAATGGAGGATCTCTTGCAATAAAAAAATTGTTCCAAAAGTGGCTGATCATGATAACAACACAAACATCTCGACCAAATATACGCGAGGCTTTTGAGGAAAAATCAATCAAGATGGAAGTTCCCGAATTTAATGAAGTAAAAGCGAGTTTGAAGGCCGCGAAATTGCTGCGGGCTTCGTTCATGTATTTTCTCCGGCTGGATGCATCAATTAGCCTACCTCTGGTGATATTGTAAGTATGTTGTACTTTTAGAATCATTAGGCTATGATCATATGTGGTTTTTGTGATTATATTTAGGGTTTGTTTGGTTCTCCGTATTAGTGGTGCAAAGTAGTGCATTCGAAATTCTAGTGTTTGGTTGGATGAAAATGAAATACAGTGTAAAATTTTGATGAATTTAGAATTCACCATGTAGTTCAAAAATTGGTGTATTTTGAATTCATTAGATTTGGGCGATTTCCAAATGTACTGCAAATTATAGCCTATTGCCGCTGCCACCATCGCAATCCGCTACCAGCCCGACCGTCCGTTGCTGATACCTTGCCACAGGCGTTGTAGCCACTAGTTGCCGCCGCTGCGATCCCTCAACATGTTTTACATTGATTTCTTTTTTCTCTATAACAAACACAAAAATATAAATTTCTCTACTTTCTTTTCATCAAATAAAACAAATTCAAAAAATTTAAAATACACTGCATTTCAATTATATTTTACTCATTTTACATCATTTTCTTTCTCTTGCCAAACCAAACGGTCTTGAAACCATGTCTCTCCTATACAGAAAAAAATATTACTTCTGGATGCTCGCGCGTCCGGACGGCCAACCGCTGGACGCCACGTTGCCTGGCGCTGACATGTATGGTGATGTAGCGCCCGGTGGTTGGCCGTCCGGACGTGCGATGTTCGGACGTAAAATTTTCTTCCTATACAGTTACATGCAAATCCGTTTCATTGCTAGCTGACTCTTTTACTTATAGTAACAATTCTGTAATACATTGTAGTACATTTATTGCTCCCAATTCCCCATCCATTGAACCAAAAACAAACAAGGGAGATTTACATAGATACCAATCAATTCATATAGATTTACATATCTAACACCTAAACTTCTATTTTTACATGTACGCCACCTTATTCATGCATCAAAAAGTTGCATTCACTTTTTAGAAGTTAAAAGAGTAGTATTTCTTATGTGACATGAAAGATTTGAGCGGTATAAATGTAAATAAACAAATATCACTTTCTAAAGATGCACTTCATCAATTGATTCATAGATTTTTATTTTTACTGAATTAAATTCTGTTAATCAAAACTTATTTCCTGCAGCATCCCCTGGTTTCTGACAATCAGAATTGTTCATGGAGCTGAAGTAACTAAAGAACTAACTCCTCTTTGGATCATTGGACCGTTAGTCATCTCCCTCTACATAAACATCATAAAGGGTCTCTGCTCTCTCTATGCTTTCTGCTTCATCCAAACTCTGACAATTGCGAGAAATCTTCCGTCCTACTGCCGGCTACTTCGCGGCTACATAATTGACGGAAAGCTCCAATCCATTCTCTATAATTACTCAATCAAGCCATTTGCTGACATAAAAAACATGAATTACAAGGAGTTCTTCAGGAGCAAACTCAAGCTGTTGGAGGGATGGGCTGTGGAGAAATACTTGGATTTTATTGAATCCATATGGCCTTATTACTGCAGAACCATCAGATTCCTGAAGAAGGCAAATCTCATTTAAAAGTATGGATGATTTACATATATACCGCGTAATTTCAATGTATTTACATATCTAGCAGCTGCACTTCAAATTTTTTTTATATATGCCACCTTATTTAGCATGAAAAGCTGTATTTTACTTAACAAATTTTTGGGGGGTGATGTGTAAGATTAAGGTGGAACAAAAGTAAAAAAAGTTGAGTTTAGATGTTAGATATGTAAATACATAGAAATTGGTTGGTATATATGCAAATGCTCTTGATTCGTCGGATTTTTATCGTCGGAGCGGATTACTTAATTTCTCGAAGGAAATTAGATTTTGCGGGATTGGAACAATAAAATCAAATGAAGCCATGAGAGGTTAGGAATATGGATTCAATGATCTGCAGATTGCTCCTTATCTACTGGACTTGATTCTGCAGTTTTTTTTCTTTTTTTTTTAATTTTTTGTTGTTGTAAAATTTGATATTTTATATATGTTAAGAAAAATGTATGATAAAATTGAGATTATGTTTGAGGTTATTTGAACTGGTGTAATATTTAATTGCACTGCTCTTCTCTGTCAATTCTTAATGTGATTTCTAATGTTTTTTTTTCAGGTTGTATTGGAATATTCTTTCTTCCAACATTTTTTTTAAAGCAATAAATAAATAGAAATTTGCATATCTAGCACATAATTCTTATGTATTTACATGTCTCTCTCTTAAACTTTTATATCTGCATGCATGGCATTTTGCCGTTTTACACACACACACACACACAATATTTAATTTTTATATATATACCACTTTATCATTGTATAGAAAAGGCAATATTTCACTTTTTTTTGTTAAATTTAAATGGTGGCATGGTATAAATGTAAAGAATAAAGTTAAATAAAAATACATAGGAATTGGGTGCCATTTACGTAAAAGCCCCTTAAAAATTGTGATAATTACATGCAAGCACTTGAAGCATATTTATAAAAACTAATGATGAATTTATGTATGTCATGATCGAATCATTAAAAATTTAATAAATAAATAAATATATATATATAAATATAAAAGAGTGATGTGAATTTTGATATTTGAATGAAAATTTAAAAATTCGACGAAGCGGGGGCTAGATTTGTAAATTGAAATTTTTGAGTGGTATGGATGTAATTGTCCCCCCTCCCCCAAAAAAAAAAAAAAAAAAAAAAAAAAAAGATAATAATAATGAAACACTAGCTTTGAAAATGTGGCTAGGAATGATTTGGTCTCAATTAAAGATGATAGTGATGTTATTCTTCCCATCAATGATCATTAGCTGAAAGAACTTTAAAACCCTAATTATTTCCGCTTTTAGTGCTAATAATCTATTATTATTTGTCCATAATGCAAGCAAAATGCAACAAATTAATCATTAATGTCATTGAAGCCTACTTTAAGCATGATATATATTAAAAGATGGATGACAACATGTGTTTATTCATCCCATATGTGCTAATTCAACCCTGATGGATTCAAACCCAGGATACAGGAGATTTACACCGAAATTATCATCCAGCAAGACCCCTGCGCAAGGATGACACAAATAAATCTAGAAATGGTCCAAATTTTTGTGTTGTCAGTCTTGGCCGGTCGATATAACAGTCTTTCTGAAGATCACAAGTCCCCTCATGTCACGAGTTTGATCCCTCTCTGATCAGTTTGTCGGTAGTGAAGACGGTCCTTGAATAGTTAGGCACATGAGGGTGGTTGAGAGCTCTTATAATAGCCTTTGTCCATTCCTATATATATATATGAAAAATGTCCCTCCGGATATTATGGGTAGTGTGGCCAAAGCACTTTCTTACTTTCGGCATTAAAGAACAATTATGGTGTTAATAAACCATAATAAATTTGTTAAATTGTGTTTAATGTTAATCATCTTTCTTCCTTCTCTTATCATTGTCTGTTTTTTTTTTCTTTCTTCTTTTATTGTAATTAGATAGACTAAGTAGGTATTAGTAATGGGAGATTGAAGCAAAATTTTGACTTCATCAACTTTAAGAGATAAGGAAGGTATATTTTGAAGAATCTATTAGGTAATGATAGAACTTTAGGTTCTCACTTCTTAGGGTTCGGTAAGATAACATTTAGTCTTGTGATAGGGTCACAACTAAACAAAAGCCAAGCAGGGTTTAGCTCAAAATCGGCTTGAATAGATTTAGTGCGGCCTGAAATCGGCTCATGGCTCATTATAGTTGATTTCAAGCGGGGCTGGTTCAAATTTAAATTGAGAAATGAGCTAGCTCAAGTTGGAGTTATTAGGATCTGTTTCAGCTCTGAATTGCCTCAATTTGGCTCAAAATTGAAACTAACTGGCTTAGAATTGAATTACTCGGATCTATGCCAGCTCGAACTCAGCTTGAAATTGGCTCGTGATTCATTATATCCAATTTTACTCACCTTATATACATAATTTTTATAAATAAAAAATACTACGAGCATATCTCGGGTCAGTTTGAGCCGATCCATGTATGGCTCGAAATCGACTAAAAAAATTAGATCCAAAGTTTCGGCTCACAGCTCGACTCGTTTATTTCGATTCTATCACGATCTTATTCAAATTGATTTTTGAGTCATTAATGATCTTCAAGCTAAATTCAAAGAATATAACACAAAATTTTTATGACAACTCACCCTTTCTATGAAAATTCCAAAACTCCCCAAAATAGCTTGAAGCACATTTAACTATTGTTTATGAAGATTTTTATTAGGTATTTGGGCTTTAACCGCAACTAAGGGCTCGTTTGCGGGCGCGGCAGGCTTTCGACCCATTGCAAAGAACGCGGAAGAACGGATATTTACAAATCTACCGCCCTCTTTCATCCAATTTTTAAATTCTCACGCAAATCTCAGAAGTCATGGTGAAATCTCAACCCATAGTTTTCATTTTTATTCAATTCTCAATAATTCGATCATTGCACAAGTATATACATCGATTCGACAGTTCAAAAAAATCACATGGGTGGCTTTTTTGAAATATCAATGTTTCCGGGGGTCTATATGTAATTAACCCTAAAAAAGTTCCCAACCCTCTCCCCTACTTCCTCTCAACGACGTGGGACTAAAATGACACATAAAATCAGTTCTAGTGGGTCATGCATAGGAGTGTAAACGAACCGAACACGAACGAACAAAGCTTGTGTTCGTGTTCGGTTCGTTTAAAATTTAGTTTGTTTGAAATAAACTCGTGTTCGTTTCTTAACGAACGAGCCGAACACAAACCGAACACGAGCTGTTCGCGAACGACGAGCCAGTTTGACATCCCTAATATTAATATATAAAAATAATATTATATATTAATTATATAACTTATATTATATAAATATACAATATCTATATTAGTATATTACTACTATAGTATATTAATATATTATTATTATTATTATTTTATTATATATTATAATTTATTAAATTTAATGTTTTAAAATATAATAAATTTTTTATATATAATTATTTTATATTATTTTATATTTCAAATAATAACGATTCGAACACGAACGAACGCATCACTGTTCGTGTTTGGTTCGTTTAACTAACCAAACGAAAAAAATTTGTTCGTGTTTGTCTCGTTTACTTATCGAACGAATCGAACACGAACTCATTGACGAACCGAACACGAACTGTTCGCGAACAACGAGCTTTTTTGACAGCCCTAGTCATGCACGGTGCATGTATTAATTTCAGCTCTTACTACCATCAAAACATTTATTTATTTATTTATTTGAATTTTTTGAATTGTTTAATTAAACTTAATATAAATGCACGCAATCATAATAAAATTAAACCATATAATTATGTCATTCTATAAAGTTCCATGTGGTCTACAATCACTCATCCCACAAGGCCAGATTCCTTCCTCCCTAATCACCCTTTCCTAACCACATGCACAATGGTGGATCAACTTCCTTAATTATTTATTATTATTTATACATATCACCCCCAATTCATATATATATTTACATATCAAGCACATATAATTTACATTCTTTACATTTATGTCCGCCAAATATTTCATATCACGTAAAAGAATACTACTATTTTAACTCTTAAGAAATGAAATACAGCTTTTTCATGCTTGGTTCATGTGATGAATATGTAAAAATTGAATTTTAAGTGGTAGATGTGTAAATACATAGAAATTGTAGGGTATGTATGTAAAATTGGGGCATGGGGGTCACGAGGGCAACAGGCTCCTCACGTGATGCCAAAATTGGATCTTAAACTTGAGAAATACTTATTTTATGTTTGCTTAAATGAAGATATTATGTCAAAGATCGCATGTGAAAGTGACAGTATTTTTAATATGTATGACTATATATATATATATATATATATATATGTTTGACATGATCTTATGGTTGCATGTGCTAAGTTTTATCAGTTCAATTGGTGATTGCATGAAATTAATATGGTTAACCTAAAGCCTAACAATATGGTTTATTGGAATAGAGTGAGTAGAGAGAGAAAGAGGGAGAGAGAGAGAGGAGTGAACAACAATGAATAGTAATATGTTGTGTCTTATTCATGAAATAATCTCTGTATTTATATGAAAGAGAGTACAATATAATGATGTTATATTTTTATCTCGATTTTAAGAAAGTCAGTACTAAGGTAATTCTGGTATTTTACATGGATAAGTCTATTATTTGTTTACTCACTGGGTCGGCTTGCTAAGTTTAATTAGATTTAGATCGGTAAAATAAGCTCGATCGAGTGAAAACCGCTTGGCCAAAAGGGATCAGCTCGGTTCGCTGAGCTTCGTTGATATGGGTCGATTGATTGGTATGATCCAACTGTCGATCTTTGACCTATGATGAAAACCCTTTAGATGCCTCTGTGATGGTTGGTGATGCCCAGGAACCAAATTTCTCTTGAATCAGCTCTTCCACAGTAATTGACTCGGATGTCTCTTTGTCTCATTTCTGACCGAATGGTTTGGGCTCGGATCATTTGCTCATCTATCTGTCCTCCTCACGGCTTAGCTAGCTTTCACTTGGTTGTCTTTGGCTCCAACAACTTCACTCGGTCAACAAGTGAACCTCATGATCTTCTGTCGGGCAGCCTTTCTTCATTATAATCTTTTCTTTTAAAACCGTTGGATCTCCTCAGGAGTAATGCTGACACATTTTTTATGTACACCAAATAAAATGTTGCAATAAAGTTCAAATTAGAATCTTAGCCTTTTATACAAAGAGGTTGGACCTTTTTAACTTACTAAACAGCTCGCTAATATAATAGATTTTCCCTAAAACCAGATCTGAGAATGGAATCTAGATCCGACATGGCCTGTATTACAGCTAAATCATGGCTCATAAGATTGTTTAATCACACATTAATTAATTGTCCCAACTCCTAACTACTTTTGCACAAGTTAATTGTAATAATTTTCTTGTAGGGGCTTTTACATTCATACCCACCCAATTCCTATGTATTTACATATCTAACCCTAAAGCTTTCTTTTTTAACATTCAAGCCATCAAAATCTTTAATATCACATAAAAAATAACTATTTATAATTGTGGAATCGACATTTTTTTGCATGGTGACTTGATGCAGTTTTGGTGAGCTGTACTCGGGGAGGAAATACTGTGTCGGTCGTTCGCACGTGCGTGCGACCAACACCTCAGCATAGACGTCGGGTCATGCCAAGCTGGCGCCTGGCGGTTGGTTGTCCGCAGAGGGCCGAACGCAATAGTTTCTCGTATTCGGCATTAGCTCGAATGCTAGAGAGTTAAGCCTTTATATTTATTATTACAAGAATATTTTATTTTACCTCAAATATAAATAAAAATTAAAAAAATAATAATCATAAGTGATTCCAAATAACCCCTAATATATTGGAGTTTTAAGGTCAAAAGGGGGAAAAATTATTGCAACAGGAGACTTGATGCAGTTTTGCGAGTTTACCACGTGTACAGACAGACCAATCTTAATAAAAATAAAATTAATTTAATATATGGGTGGGTCTACTTGTACACTTGACAGACCCTGATTGGAGTCCTAATACAAAACTGCATTAGGACTTGTGATGCAATAATAGCCATTCACTCACCCTTGGATTGTTCCTTGATGTAAGACTTATAAAAAAAATCTTAATTTGTGATGTGTCTATTTGCCTAACTCAATCATGCCAACTCATTTAGTGCTTAGGCACCCAATAATTTGTTATCCTCCTATTTTACATGCATGCCACCCAATTCCCACACGTTCCCATATCTAACCCCTAAAATTTACTTCTTACATTTATACCATCCAAAACTTTCATATCACCTCAAAAATATCACAATTTAACTTTTAAAAATTACCAAGTGAGACTTATTTATCACGTGATGAGTTTTCACTGGACTATAGACTTAAAGGCCGAACATAATTATCTCTAGTGTAATTTAAGGCAGAATGATCACAACTAGGAGAAAAATTTGCGTACGTAAGACATACGCAGCACTGCGTACGTCCGTAAGTTACAGAGAGGGTATTGGGGGGTTATATTCGCGTTATACCCTCCGTAATCTCCCTGTAACCTACCTGTAACTTAACTGTAATCTAATAAGTCCCGCGCTTCTGTTTTCATATATCAGGTAGATTACAGAGAGATTATATGAGTATAACACGGATATAACCCCTCAATACCTTTTCTGTAAACCGCCTCCGTGTCCTTCCAAGAAGGTCCTCACAATCAGTCTTTTAATCAAATCTATGGTAATCTTCCTTCGCGAATAAATAAACCCTAATCCCCATCCAAATTCCTTCCCCCCGCCTTAGCTGTTCCTGCCGTTCTCGGATCCGGAGAGCCTAATTTTTTTATCTCCATCTCCAATTCTTCACCATCTTCACCTCCCATTATTTAATCCGTAAAGTTAAAAACCTAAATCGAATCTCACCATTCTTAAATTCCTAAAGCTGGCTGAGTAACAGTGATGCTCCACTCTTCCATCTTCTTTACTCCATCTTCGCCGTCTCGATTACACCGAACCCCATTTCCAAAGCAAGCGAGCAAAGCGAGAAAGAAACATGCTCCCTAGTAGAGCTGTCGATGGAGCAGCCTTGCCGCCTAAATCCAGACCCCTGCTCTTCCCCTTCTGTGTCCGACTGCTCCTCTGCTCTTCTCTTCTTCTGCTCGTTCTGTCAAGCAGAGCGGCGGAGGCCATTAATGCGGAGGCTGAAGCTCTGATCGCCTGGAAGATTACCCTCAATGGCACCTCCGCGGCATCCGCTCTATCAAATTGGAATGAGCTCGATGAGAACCCGTGCGGATGGTTTGGAGTTTCATGCGGAATTGATGGTCGCGTCGTGGGGATTAATCTGCAGTATGTTGATCTGTGCGGTAGGGTGCCGGGCAATCTTGCAGCAGTAGCTCCGACATTAACTACGCTAGTACTATCTGGTACTAACCTTACTGGACCAATCCCGCCGGAGCTAGGAGAGCTTTCGCAGCTCAGCCACCTCGATCTCAGCGAAAACGCCCTTTTCGGTGAGATCCCCGTGTCTCTATTTCGCCCCGGGAGCAAAATCCAGGAGCTCATCCTCAACTCTAATGGACTTGAGGGTTCAATCCCGGATGCCATCGGTAATCTCACTTATCTCCGATTACTCATTCTCTATGACAACCAGCTAGCCGGAACGATTCCAGCGAGCATTGGGCTGCTGGGTAAGATGGAGGTCTTCCGAGCCGGAGGTAATAAGAATCTCATCGGCGCATTGCCAGAAGAAATCGGAAACTGTAGTAGCCTCACTATGATTGGTCTCGCCGAGACGGGCATCACCGGCTCCTTGCCGGCGGGTCTCGGCTTCCTCCAGAGATTACATACACTTGCGGTTTACACTGCGCTGCTCTCCGGTCCAATACCACCGGAACTCGGGCAATGCGGCGAGCTTCAGAACATTTATCTTTATGAGAATTCGATCACCGGCTCCGTTCCACTGGCCCTTGGTCGACTCAAGAAACTAAGGAATCTTCTGCTATGGCAGAATAATCTTGTTGGGATGATTCCGCCGGAGCTTGGTTTGTGTTTGGAGCTCGAAGTTGTAGACCTTTCTATAAATAGACTCACCGGAGGGATTCCTCACGCGTTCAGCAATCTTACCAGCCTTCAGGAACTAAAGCTAAGCGTGAACCAGATCTCCGGCTCCATTCCTCCGACGATTTCCAATTGCAGGAATCTAACAGAACTAGAGCTGGATAACAATCAGATCACCGGAGCCATCCCGCCGGAAATCAGCCGATTATACAATCTCCGAACGCTGTACGTATGGCAGAACAGGCTCGAAGGCGGGATCCCGCAGGAGCTTGCCGGATGGAATCTTGAAGCGGTAGACCTCTCTCAGAACGCTCTAACCGGTCCAATCCCGAAAGAAATCTTCTCGCTGCCAATGCTCGGCAAGCTACTTCTACTCCACAATGACCTCTCCGGCGAGATAGCGGCGGAGATTGGCAAGTGCAAGTCGTTGATCCGGTTCCGTGCCAATGGGAACAGGATCACCGGAAACATCCCGGCTGAGATTGGTGCGTTGAGGAAACTCAGTTTTCTCGATCTGGGCTCAAACCGGCTTTCCGGGCCGATCCCTGTGGAGATCTCTGGATGCCGAAATCTCACGTTCCTCGACCTCCATGACAACGCCATTGCCGGCACCCTTCCCTATCTTCTTTTTGAGGGCCTTGCTCTGCTCCAGTTCCTCGACATCTCCAACAATCTCATAAGCGGCGAACTTCCCCCTGATCTCGGCTTGCTCGCCTCCATGACGAAGCTAATCCTCGCTGGAAACCGATTCACCGGCCATATCCCAACGGAGATCGGATCCTGCTCGCGTCTCCAATGGCTAGATCT